TGAAACTTGCTTCAGAAAAAGACTGATCAACGTGTCTACTTCTCAATTATGCTACATATACCGCGATTATAGTTTAGTTTATATATATATGTTGAAGTTCATCTATATATGTTCAACATATATATATATATATATATATATATATATATATATATATATATATATATATATATATATGTTGAAGATCTTATTGATCAAGCCCTATAGTTGTCCGATCATAGGGTTTAACTTTTTTTTCTGTGATTTATTGTCAATCAGTCTTCGTAACAGACAAGTAATGGTATTAGCTGATAAAATTATTAGATCCACTTTTTGAATAACATGTGTGATAGTAACGCAGTGGATAAGAAGCTATATAAGTGTTTAGTAATTAAAGTCAAACTAACTTGTGATGGGTGGTCCATTTGTTCATTTATGGCAGGAGGATCATTCTAACCGATTTATAAAATAAATCAAAAATCATCTTTCGCTTCAAAATACATTACTTGAAACACTGTACCGACATGGCAAACAATGAATGTGCAGTCCCAGTGGAAATTCAATTTCTGTCTTTTGTAAATGAGTTATAGAATTTTGATGAATAGTGCCTTCGGTTCCATAGCGAACCGCTGCCCGATTTTCTCTGGCCACTCAAAAGGTCCATTCAAGTATTGGTAGAATGTACATACGCTTGACTACAATAGCACAGCCTACGCTGCACTCTACGTGAACAAGTAGCAAGTAATCGAAGTAAAAGGACAAATGCGTAAATTTCATGTAAATTTCTGCAACGATAGGCGGTTATATTGTCCGTACATAGCATGTGGACCTCTGCTTATTCGCAGCGTACTAACGTTTAGCTAGCAATTGACTGCAGGTTTTTTTTATTGTGAAACACGAACCCATTGCTTTGCCTGGTCGCTGCCAGGTTCTAGTCTAAGTCTTCGGCGAACCGATCTCCTGCGCATGAAAATGTCACAGCAACGGTGGTTGTTTTCATACATGTCACGTCCGTGTACAACGGTTTGTTGGGACTCCCAAAGGTTCTGAAATATCACTCCACAGGCAAACAGTATGAAAAATTACATTCAGATATCCTTGAACCCACGACAATGTCCGTGTCACCCTGATCTCTACTCGCTCTTTTTATGTCTCATTCGGCTTCTGCTGCGAGCTCAAAAAAGACCAAGTGGTCCCAAACAAAGAAAGTACTACATGCGTTCATGCCAATACTTCTCGCCAGATAACCGCACATCTATAAAGATCTCACTTGTGGAGAAAATATCCTTTGTAAGCAACGTTCCAATCAACATTAACAATATTATTATATAATATATATTATATAAAACAATATTATATAAAAAAAAATATATAAAAAAAGCAATCACTTGAATCGATTCCACGAGTAAACTGCCAACCATTTGATCGGCAATGCAATCTAAAATAAAATTCTAGTTTTAACTTAGCTACCTATGCGTCTGAAAGCTCGAATAAAATTCCACTCACCATACGTGCAGTGCATAGGCGTTAGAAGACTATACTATCCCGGTTCGAAACTTTTTCGTTTCGTAGTGAAAGTCAGCCGTTTGGAGCAATACTTCATTTGAAAAAAGAACTGAACATAAACTTAAAACATTATCTTATATAAGTATAAGGTGAAAACCGACTACTAATTCAACGTGCGACTACACAATATGCGAAATTCCTGTTCCCTCAGCTAATTATCAACCTCATAAAGGCAAGTCACTGGCTGGCATATCGTTAGCATTGTAGTAATTCATGTTTTCTCGAAATAAATGGGTGGTTCGGCAATGTTGTACGATGGGCTGTATTATTTCACCTGTCGATAGCTGCGAAATGGTTGCGCCATCGTTCTTTCTTTAACTACCCGCTCGAAGGTCACAAGATATGAGCATAAAACTTGGCATGACGAAAGTAATCGATGTGCACTGTAATATGAAGCCAACTTCTACTAGAGCAATTGTATGAAAAATTAGTAAAGGTAGGTATGTAAAGTTTAAAATTAAATCTCTTATTTAGTGTTTAGGAATTCAGAATATGTATGAGATTCCGCGGGCAGTACTCAACGAGAAGATCGTATTTGACGATCAGAACGATGAATCTGACAGGTGTTAGAAATATTTATTGTATCAAGCACAAGTTTATCAAATAAAGGATCTGCATTATGCCGTGCTACTAGACCATTAAGAATTTAGACAGAAGAGGCCTGGAATGAAGAATAAGAATCAATCATATAAAAAAAATGATTATGTTATATATAAACGCTGTCGACCGATTTTTGCGTATAAACGAACATGAGTTAACAAAAGTGATGACTTAATTCTATCGTAGGTAACAAGAATCGTGGTATGTGCAGTTATTATTGGTAAGAATTCATTGCGACAGCTAGATATAAATAACAGAGGGCTCGTGGTGATACAGTGGTATAACAAATTTAAGAGAATTTTAGAAGAAATTTAAGAAATCGTTCGTTTGAAAGAGCTTAATTCTGGATGTAATGCTTGTTTGGACCTTGTTGCCAAGTAAACAGCATTGGAGATGCCTTTTGCATGCACAAGCCACTTCTTTCAAATCATCTTTGGAGTCACCTATCTTCACATAACATGGCTGGTTATATGTTATATATAAACATTTCTCTATAGAAACAACTACTACGCCTGCAAGTCATAGAGAGGTTACACGAAAGTGTACAAACATTATTTCTAAATATAATAAAATTGGCATGACTGTGCTGCTTTTACTACGTTATAACCATTTCAGGGCAAACAGTGTGGACAAAAAGAATAAAGATTTTTTATCTATATGTTTTTTTACTTACGAAACTCACTATGGAACGTTTTTGTTAGCTTACTTACAATTTTTAAAAGTTTATGTTTGGGAATATAGCAGATGTAATTTAAACTTAGAAAGTGTATCTTTGTGTTCCAATTTCAAGTATCTCTTGGCACCTTCATTCTTGAGTACCTTAATCATGTGGGTATCGACAATCCAGCAGCAAATAATTTAGTTTTCGGAAGTGCGTCTTTGAAGTTTCGGTCTTCTTTTTTTAAATAAAAGTAAAATCGTCTGCTTTTCTAAACTCTCGGTTGCATGGTATATGTGCTTAAGCTATCTTGAAATCAATGCACACCAATGTCCGCTCACGCTTTCTTTACATTTCCTCAACATATCACTATTTGTTTCTAGCGTATGTTTTAATTACTTGATTTTTCTGTCGTCGAAAAACAATTTCGGTTGGCTGTCTGTACTTCGAATTGAGCATCACCTGAACAAATCTAAAGGCTGCTTCGAATGGCACAATATGAGAGAAAACGGATATCTCCAAGTAAGATCTGCAGGTTTTCAAGGATTTGCTAAGGTTTAACAGTGTTTTATTTTGCTGGTTAACGTGGGGGAAATAAAAGTACGTAGTAAAAATCCGTGTTTTTGATATACCAGCCAGATCCCTCCAAACCTGTAGGGCTAGAAAAAAGGACAAAATGGAAAAAAGGCGAACTTGACTTCGAGGAAGATAAGAAGTAGTACACGACTTTTGCGTATAAACGAACATGAGTTAACAAAAGTGATGACTTAATTCTATCGTAGGTAACAAGAATCGTGGTATGTGCAGTTATTATTGGTAAGAATTCATTGCGACAGCTAGATATAAATAACAGAGGGCTCGTGGTGATACAGTGGTATAACAAATTTAAGAGAATTTTAGAAGAAATTTAAGAAATCGTTCGTTTGAAAGAGCTTAATTCTGGATGTAATGCTTGTTTGGACCTTGTTGCCAAGTAAACAGCATTGGAGATGCCTTTTGCATGCACAAGCCACTTCTTTCAAATCATCTTTGGAGTCACCTATCTTCACATAACATGGCTGGTTATATGTTATATATAAACATTTCTCTATAGAAACAACTACTACGCCTGCAAGTCATAGAGAGGTTACACGAAAGTGTACAAACATTATTTCTAAATATAATAAAATTGGCATGACTGTGCTGCTTTTACTACGTTATAACCATTTCAGGGCAAACAGTGTGGACAAAAAGAATAAAGATTTTTTATCTATATGTTTTTTTACTTACGAAACTCACTATGGAACGTTTTTGTTAGCTTACTTACAATTTTTAAAAGTTTATGTTTGGGAATATAGCAGATGTAATTTAAACTTAGAAAGTGTATCTTTGTGTTCCAATTTCAAGTATCTCTTGGCACCTTCATTCTTGAGTACCTTAATCATGTGGGTATCGACAATCCAGCAGCAAATAATTTAGTTTTCGGAAGTGCGTCTTTGAAGTTTCGGTCTTCTTTTTTTAAATAAAAGTAAAATCGTCTGCTTTTCTAAACTCTCGGTTGCATGGTATATGTGCTTAAGCTATCTTGAAATCAATGCACACCAATGTCCGCTCACGCTTTCTTTACATTTCCTCAACATATCACTATTTGTTTCTAGCGTATGTTTTAATTACTTGATTTTTCTGTCGTCGAAAAACAATTTCGGTTGGCTGTCTGTACTTCGAATTGAGCATCACCTGAACAAATCTAAAGGCTGCTTCGAATGGCACAATATGAGAGAAAACGGATATCTCCAAGTAAGATCTGCAGGTTTTCAAGGATTTGCTAAGGTTTAACAGTGTTTTATTTTGCTGGTTAACGTGGGGGAAATAAAAGTACGTAGTAAAAATCCGTGTTTTTGATATACCAGCCAGATCCCTCCAAACCTGTAGGGCTAGAAAAAAGGACAAAATGGAAAAAAGGCGAACTTGACTTCGAGGAAGATAAGAAGTAGTACACGACTTAGTTGCTAACATACTAACGCCCATTCTTGATTTTATAAAATGATTCCGCTACCAATTAACGTTCGCAATCTCATCCAAAATATAGATCGACGTTGATACAGAAAAACGCGGTTGGTTATGCGCAACAGCACAGACAAGATAAAGACGACAATGGATTTTAAAATTATACTCTCTATAAATTATACTCTGAACATAAACTTTAATCTGTGTTACATACAGGTTATTATTATTATTATTTTATTATTATTCGACCATATATAAATTAAATACGCAAAATTTCGAGGGCGCACTTGATTTTCGGACGAATGACTAAAAACACCTTCTCTTGGATAGAAAAAACTGCAATAACTTAAAAATCCTTCGAAGAGATATCTATACTGATTAGTGGTTGAATTTTCATCTGATTTGTGTATTTAAGATGCATTTATATAATTTAGAAATATATCATGTAATCAAAAAAAAAAAAGTGTCGCATGCCTAGTTACTATGTGCTAGTCATCTAGAAAAAGGATCACTTATATACATAAACAGAATTGTGTTATATAATTTAGTGTTTACATATATACAGGAACGCTATTTATAAATCATGTAATCGCATATGAAGAATATTTATAATGAATTGTTTGGTTGGCACATGAGTCATTCAATTATATTAGGGATGAGTTTTTAGCCAATGTAATTGCACCGGCTTCTCGCGTCCACCCCATTTACACGTTACAGTTTTGCAGAATATCAAATTAGTATTCCTCACATATCAATAAGAAACTTGACCTACGTATTCACAGATATAATCAAAGTCTAATTTATACACTTTCTTGTCGTGAACGAATTGAACATAGGCGACGCATGCTTTTTTGTCCCGCTCCACGATATGTCCCACTTGACCTTTGTATTTTCCCGCCACGACCATGACAGGGACAGTGGCTTGTACCGTCGATCTTGGTAGAACTGTCTCTAACATGTCCATGTGCACATCCTCCAGGAGCCGACCGTTGTCAGTTCGACAGAAGCACACATCGCGGCTGACCACGTCTTCGATAACCACTTTTTCGTTAGCAAACCGTCCATCCTTCCAATTATCATCGACGACTCTCACACGTAATTGTGATTGGAGCCAGTAACCGATAAATGGCCGTTTATTGTCCACCTTAGTTTTCTTACTTTTTTTGCCATTCTCGCCATGCCCCATTCTCGACCTATCATCTTGAAATCCTGCAGTTAGATCAATCGTTTCCGATTGTCGGCTTCCTTGATAGCCTTCATGCTTTCGCTTATAGTCATCATAGCGGTCTCTGTTCAGACATTTTCCAAAGTCGTTGTATTCCTGCTTGCCTACAGCAATAACTAGAGCTTCATTACAAGCAACCTTGTCCTTTGTTAATGCTAAACTGATATAAACTCTGGCAGCATCTTCGTCGATGCCTAGGACCTACACACGAACAAGTTGAAAAACAACAATAAGCAACAAGAAAAATACATTTTCTATCTAGCCTTTGTGGCTACACAATGACTACTACTGCGCAGAATGATTTGAATTATCAGAATTGCTGGTCTTATAACATGATGCGAACCTTTGGCTACACACAATACAATCGTTCTTTATATTACCCACCTACATCTCTATACACCAAAATCTCTAATGTAACAACACCAACTTCTATATTCGTAGCAGAGGTGCTCATATATCACTTACCTGTCCATATTTTCCTTTGTATGTCCCTTCGATAATTTTAACAAAAGCGCCGCTTTTCACAATGAGTTTCTCTTTCTGGTTACCCTTTTTTTTATTTTCATACTCTTGCTGTTCTTGGGCACTTCTAAGTAGCTGCTCCGCACCCAGTCCCAAACCTTTCGGGCGGATCTTTACTTCAATTGGTTGTACAGCCACTGAAGATCTGAATACGCGTAGGATTTATATAAGTATTATGCTATAACATATAAAGAAATATGTTTTGTCACTTACATTTGCTGTCTGATTTGCTTACTAGCCGAGGTGAATGAAGGAAAATGTATAAGAAAAGTACGTTACGTTCTACACCGAAAATCAGTAGCAAAAAGTCCTGTATCGACGTCAGAAAACAAAAATTCAACAAAAATTATATAAAGAATATATTTTTCATATATCATATAACGCCAGAGGATTGTGAAGTTGTAATGATTTACAACCTCACAGTCCGCTGATCTTACATGATACAACAAAATCAACAACAAATATACTGAAAGCTAAAAGGCAGCGAAATGATTACCTTCCATCGTGGCCTCCTTTGGATTTCTTACCCATGCCACGTAAAAGAGCCATCCCAAACTCTTCGATAGGCATTTCTTCATATGAGGGGTCGATTGGATTTTCAAGCGAAGTATCCGGCTGATTTTCAGCATGATCAGAAATAACCGAACTGGCCTATAAAGAAGGAGAATCAAACAAATATCTTTCATTATTTACGTAGTAGTGTAAAAACAAATGAACAGACAAAAACGATAGGGTAGGCAAGCTGTATAATCACATATAGCAACCTGACACATAATTGTCAATCAAACACTAACAAAGAAACGAGGAAACGACATCAGGTTGTTAAATGCCGTGAGCCCTTCCTGCAATAACTGTTTATCCGAGGAAATCATTCAAATTCAAATCTTTTTACGTTCCACTTTTTGTTTTTTTTCTAGATATGTGATAGATATGAATTTTAGCTCGACATTATGAATAATCAGGATTAGTCGTTTACTAACTTTGCTGACGGTTTCCGGCGTCACATCTTCATTATTTAACAGCTCTTCCTTTATTTCTTGCTTAACTTCCCGATCTATATACGCACCATATTTAAGCCGATTTTTTCTCTGAATTAAACTTTCGTTTACCAATGCTGGAACTATGAGTTCTTTCTTTTTTTCAATTTTTCGCGTACCTTTAATTCGGTTGCCAGTAACTGCAACGACAAGGATAATATGTAAAAAAATACAAACTGAACGTTGTTTCGAGATAGGTAAGCTACACGCGTAATATCATCTAAAATACGATTCAACACATTGTTCAAGTTAAACAATTCAAAATTTTTTTACAAATATTTTTTTACAGATAAAGCATTCACTGAGATAAACCGCTAAAAACGGTACTCATTTACTCTAAACCTTTTGAATGATATGTATTTTCAGAATTGAACATTTTTAAGTGAGAAGAAATGGCACCTGCTCAATTGTATCTAATAAAATTACACATATAAAATTTACTGTATGCCCATTTATCGTATTTAGGTATCAAGCTCTTCAAAACGACCACCAATTAGATATGATTTTTTATATATACACCTTGACATGCAATAGAGGAGCGTTCTCTATTCAGTCAAATAACACCGGACGTGCTTGTTATAGAAATAATGGTATCATCAAATAGCACCTGTAAATCAATTGCTATACTACCTTCCGTAACATAATCTGTCTCTTCCTTAACTTCCGTATCATGTTGCACCAAATCCTTGTTAAATGCTGATTTTTTTCCAGAACCTCTTATATTTAAAGAAATCTTTTTCGGAGCCGCACTACAACCTTCCATTTTGATAACAAATTTCTCATCGGAAGCATTGGTTCAGCTCCGGTCCTCTTTTAGCGATGTCAACAATAACCAGCCGCTCAGGATTTAGCTATAGAAGGTGCTCACATTCGTGAACCACTGCCGATTAAACTTATAAAGTGACATAGTTTTCTGTAATAGAACTTTTATTGCTGTGACTGTTAAAGAGAGTTTATTTCATGTGAACTCATGGCTGCTCTCCGTAAAGGTGGCTCGTTGTTGGGGTACTGGAAAACTAAGTTAAAAGAAACGTATTTTGGTATTAATACTCCAAAACCTCCGTTCGACTTCGCTGTTCAAGTGGGCGATCCTGTTTTACGACAAAAGGCGGATGAAGTTAAGGCTGAGGTCTTTATTGCTCTGCATTTTAGTTTGTATTAAAGAATGCTTGGCCAAAGAGCTTGATGGGTAGCAGATGTTTGCCACGATTGACTATGGTCGATCGTTGATTAGCTTTGCTGATCTGTTTGTTTAAGTGTACTTACCTATGAAGGTGTATTCGCCTTGGATGTAAGAACTGATGAAATTAATAGAACAGTTCCAAGCATAGCAACTTTGGGAATAGCTTACATGGCGATATACAAATACCTTTAACTCTTCTGTATATGAATAACAAAGCAGCAATGATTACCGGTATAGTGAATTATCTTAAGTCCTTTTGTTCGAGCTGTTGATGATACTTAAAAGAATACGCAAAATATATTTGATAATGTTGTACACATAACTTCACACATCATAATCAAATAGCATTTTATTTTGTTCATAACTATGTCAATAAACCTGTACATTATCTAGTCAAAATCAGTACAATATACAACAAAAAATTATTATTTGTTATATAAGGGTTTGCTTTAACCAGGACATCAAGTCACCGGAGATCCAGGAGTTAATCTCAAAGTTAGTTTCGATCATGCAGCGTAACCGCGCCTACGGCATGGCCGCTCCTCAGGTAAACCAAAATATTCTTAACGTACAAACCTGAAAAAACTAAGTATGCAAAGAAAGGCATTATGCATCTACTTAAGAAAAAAGAAAATGTTTTTGTGAGGCCAATGAGAATAAAGTCACAAGAACACTTACTGAGCAGATACGTGAGTAGCTATGTCGGAAACTAAAAGCTCTCCTCTAACCTGAGTTTTAGCATCTATTGGTGATACTAGCTTACTAAACGCTATACAATATTAAAATATTTGACCATTCGGTTTACCATTAGAATTTACGATTCAATGATATTTACCGTTCGATACTGTTCGACATTAATGAAATGAGATACTAAGTGATCCACCCATGTGTTTTGCAGATAGGAGTCCCTCTTCAAGTATTCGTGACAGAGCTTCGTCCCAAAGAAGTTGCAGCTTTCACAGACGAAGACAGGGATTCGCAAAGTATCTTTGCTTGGAGTCGCAAAGTAAGTACATATCTTTAAAATCAATCAAAGTTCTGAGCCATTATATATAAGTGTTTCACGTCTTACGTCAGGTGCTGCTGTTAAGCATTGCTTTAGACAACTGGTTTCTTACATTACAAAACGAAACATGTGGTCACTTTCTGTTTGCAAGTTAAACGACTTCACGTATTCTTAAATCTGGACAAAGACGTTACTGTTACATCATGACAAAGACTTCTTTCATAGAAACTGTAGTTCTGATATAAGACCGTACTTCTCTCAAAAACAGTGCATTTACTAAATGTGTTATATAAAACACACAATTATATCACACATTTTGGAATACACACAAATACAGGTTCTCTAGATATAGACTTTATTACCTTTTAAATAGAACGAAAATAATTAAAAAATAAATAAAAAAAATATATATATA